GAATTTCAATCATTTTTATGTCAGAATTTTTCGTTAATTCACGCGCAGTATCGATAACACAGCCCTGCGATTTTTTGGTCATGTCATGTTGCATGGCATGTCTTGATTGATTCTTACGTATTTTTTAGCGCTAAATTCGGGGATAATATCCAAAAAATTCCATCACGTCAGGATTTTTCACAAATTCAAAATTTTGGTTTTTAAGGGGAAAAAATTTCCAAAAAATTGATTTTTTTCCCCTTCAATTCGACTATTGATTTTGGTCTGTAATATACCTCTTAAGTATGAATTAACCATTGCTTGTCAAAAGAATGCCTCAAAGAGTGATACTTGTCCGCATTTCATCAAATTTTATGCATTTTTAGGTAATTTTTATCCCCAAAAAAATTGTTTTCCTGTCAAAAATTTTTAAAAATACGACTCTAAACAAATTTATTCCCCCTTAATTTACTTTCGCCAGTACCCACTGATCACCAGAAACAGTAAACACAAGTCTCTAGAATATTGTGAAGAGGGAGGCGGCGCCAAGATGTCCTGAGAGCTCCACGCGGCTCGCGGCTTCTTCCCGCCGCGCCGCTGCACCATGTTTCCGGTTCCGTCAGGATTTTCCACAAATTCAAAATTTTGGTTTTTTAGGGGAGAAAATTTCCAAAAAATTGATTTTTTTCCCCTTCAATTCGACTATTGATTTTGGTCTGTAATATATCTGCTAAGTATGAATTAACCATTGCTCGTCAAAAGAATGCCTCAAAGAGTGATACTTGTCCGCATTTCATCAAATTTTATGCATTTTTAGGTAATTTTTATCCCCAAAAAAATTGTTTTCCTGTCAAAAATTTTTAAAAATACGACTCTAAACAAATTTATTCCCCCTTAATTTACTTTCGTCAGTACCCACTGATCACCAGAAACAGTAAACACAAGTCTCTAGAATATTGTGAAGAGGGAGGCGGCGCCAAGATGTCCTGAGAGCTCCACGCGGCTCGCGGCTTCTTCCCGCCGCGCCGCTGCACCATGTTGCAGGTTCCAACTCATCTGAGTCTCACACACTTTTTTGATAGCTAGACGTATTTTCGCAAGTTTCAACTTGTCTAGCATTCTATCATGTGTTCAGTGGGATTTTATTCTGACTTATCAATGCTAAAAAAGCAGACAAAACGGTTGTATGCCCGAGATTCGGTTCTTTCTTGTGCCGAAAATTCGTAATTTCGGCCAAATGGCTTCCACAGGGTGCAAAAAGTCACCAGATGTGTTTTAGCACATCTGTGGTGAGCTGATGGTGCAAAATTAGTGACGTGATATTACAGAATTTTTGAGGAAACCCGCGACGCGGCGGCGCGCGGCGAGAAGAAGCCGCAAGCCTTGTGGAGCTCTAATGACATCTTGGTGCCGCTCCCCTCTTCACAATATTCTAGAAACTTGCGTTTACTGTTTTTGGTGATCAGTGGGTACTGACGAAAGTAAATTGAGGGGGAATAAATTTGTTTAGAGTCACATTTTTAAAAATTTTGACAGAAAAACAATTTTTTGGGGATAAAAATAACCTAAAAATGCATAAAATTTGATGAAATGCGGACAAGTATCACTCTTTGAGGCATTCTTTTGACAAGCAATGGTTTATTCATACTTAGCAGATATATTACAGACCAAAATCAATAGTCGAATTGAAGAAAAAAAAATTCAATTTTTTGGAAATTTTTTCCCCTAAAAAACCAAAATTTTGAATTTGTGAAAAATCCTGACGTGATGGAATTTTTTGGATATTATCCCCGAATTTAGCGCTAAAAAATACGTAAGAATCAATCATGACATGCCATGCAACATGACATGACCAAAAAATCGCAGGGCTGCGTTATCGATACAGTGCGTGAATTAACGAAAAATTCAGACATAAAAATGATTGAAATTAGTGAAAAACTCAAGGAACTAGTGAATTCACATGTGCACTTGAGCTTGAGACGAAATATGATGAAAAACAGAGATTCGGCCTAAGACTGAAAAATAGGAAACGACCAGTCTCAGATTCCCAGTGTCACATTTTTCGACATAATACCTTCAAAAATGCATATTAGCAGAGGCTAACCAAAATATCAGGGAGTTAGATTTTGCATGATGTACAATGAAGGTTTTCACCCCTTCCAGCCGCCCTCTTCCTCCCCCGATCATTGCTGCCTTTTCACTTTTCACTCATCGCGTCCGCCACAACCTGTTAAAACATGCCCACTCCTCTACCTCCGATTGTATTGCAGCAGTCCGCGAGGTTTCAAAGAGGGCTTATGCAAGAAACCACATCTGTTTCGGCCTAATCAAAGAGCTATGGTCAAGACTGAGGATGATATGTATACCTCTCGGCTCAAAGTTGGAGAAGAGCAAAAAATTCGATGTGTGCTGATTTGATTTGCGTCCTTGTGTACACAGATTTCATCCTTCATGCAATGCTGCAGATTCATTCGTCAAAGTTGCGAGCAGAATAAAAGCTCTGTAACAAGTTGTAAAAGAGATACGCGGATCATATATACATGTCTGTCATGATAAGCCAATATTTTCCAATATATACTACTAATATCATCGCAATCGAGCAGAAAATCAACGAAATTGGCTTCCGCAAGGGATTTCTTGCACTTTGGCGCGCTCTAGCAACCAAAAAATGAACCATAACAAGAAAATTGCGCGTTGAAATTTGTTCAAAATTAGATTATCTACAACTTCATTTCTTTCAGCTATTTCTATTAGAGGTCAATTAAGGGAGTCACGGCTGTAAAAACGCGAGAAAACGTGATTTTCGGCCGATATCACTTTCGCGGGCTCTGGTGGCTTAAATTTAAGTCCTAGCATAAAGTTTGTCCTTTCAAATTTGTCACAAGTTTACTTGGCTACAACTTTGCTAATAACTAATTTTCCGTTCCGATGAATATTAAGCTATTTATTCCCAGAAAAGCGCGTAAAAACTTAATTTTTGGTAGTTTTACGGCTTTTCCGGAAAACGCACAAGACGGATTAGGTGAGAAGCATCAAATTTGGATTCAGCGACCAAAAATACATAAGGATCAGCTGTAACCTCATCTGACCTCTTTCTTGCATTCATACCCCCCTTTTGAGATCTAGTGGTACTGGAATATACTAGCTTTGTACCGAAATGTACCGTTCAAAACAAGTTTTGTACCATCACGAAAGGGGAGCTACCCCGCCCCCACTCAATAGTGGGGGGCTGGGGAAATATTTTCGAATAAACGGACTTACGTACTCAAAACCCTCAGAATGTGCACTAAGAGTTTTGTACCGAGATGTACCGTCGAAAAAACCGCACTTTTTTTACCCTAAGGCCTCCCCAGGGGGGTCCCCCCAGCCGTGGCCCCGGCCTCCTGCCCGTGGCAGTATTGAAAGGACCGTTTCTGTGCCCCATGTGATCAAATCAGAATGTTTCTTTACTCCTCATAATATTACTAGTTTTGTACTGAAATGTACCGTTCAAAAAAAGTTTAGTACCCTCACGATAAGGGGGCTACGGGGGGGGGGGGGGTCAAAAGGGGGGAGGGGAGAAATATTCTCGAAAAAACGGACCTAGGTACTCGAAAACCCTCGGAATATATACTAAGAGTTTTGTACCGAAAAGTACCGTCGGTTCTACTACACTATTATACTATCTCTATACTATAAGCTCCGAGACCTCCTGATTTTGCATAACGCCAGCGTTCTACTGGGCCGATTTTCATGATTTTTAAGGCTATCAACGGGCAACTGTCTCTAGATTAGCCCGTTCTGTTCAGTTCAGACCTAATTTTTGGCTGCAAAATAATGGGCTAAACATGGTTCCTTAGCCCGAAATAGCAGATAATTCGCGTTTATCAATCATTTCAAAATCAAGCTTTTCTAATTTTGAAGCCTGATATAGCTGAAAATCCATGTAGTAGGGCGGATAAGCGTAACAATTTTTAAAAATTTTAAAAAGTTCGCGTGATGAGGCAAGTGAGGGATCATTTCTACTGTGATTTTGGTCGTAGATTTCATTTATGAAGTCATAAAAGCCCTCAAGTCAAAGGGATTGCTCCAAATGCGAAGATGGCGGCCAGATTTGAAAGGCAAGAGGGTGAATTTTTGAAATGTTTACGTGACATCCCTGGTAAAAGTGAATCAACCTGACGTCAGGCTATGTTTCATAAACTACCCTGAGTCAGACTGATATCAGCCTGAATTAGTCTGGCCGCCATCTTCGCATTTGGAGCAATCCCTTTGACTTGAGGGCTTTTATGACTTCATAAAATAATGAAATCTACGACCAGAATTACATAGGAATTGACACCTCACATGACACTGTATGCGTATTTTAAAAAAAATCGAACTCCCAGAGGCCTTATTATGGCCGCCATTTTGAAATTTAGGCAATTTGGGGGGTATTCCGGCATCAAACCGTGGTAAACTTTTGGTATGTTGTTCAATAGGACCTACTGAAGATGTTTGCATAGGAAAAGTTTGTTAAGCAATTTGTTCCGGGTCAACCCTCTTTTTTTCGGATTTCTCCTTGACAAACCCCCCTAAAACCCGAAAGTCGTGGATTTAAGGAAATGAATTTTGGGCAATATGCACGAATAGCTATCTACTGGCACTTGATCGACTAAAAATGTACAGGGTATACATTTACGAGCCATAAAAACAGCCTAACTTGACTTTTTTAGCGCCTTGACCCGACATTCCCACCAAAAAAGCGAAAAATCGCATTTTCTAAAAAACGGCCAAACTACAGATTTCGCGGTTTGTTGGTCCTCAATCAGTAGGCCTTCTAGTTGACATTTCCGCAAAAAAATTGCGGGTGGTATATTGACCGCATTAAAAGTGTTTAAAACGTACCGTGGCGCCGTGATATGTAGGCAAAAAGTCAATTTTGCCCCTAAAAATCGAGCTTGTTGGGCCACACGGCTCCTGAGACTCGAAGGTGAATTTTGAACACTGTTAGAGAAGCAGACTGAAAGTAGGCAGATAAAGTAAAAGGAAGATGTTCTCACCAGCAGTTTTCATCAAAAAATCTAAAGATGGTAAAATGTTTTCTCTTTGAAGAAAAAAAATCACTAAAAGGGTCAAAGAAAAATTTGTGATCCAGTGGCCAGGATGTGGAGAGTTAGTGAGCATGACTTCTTTAGCCCACCACCGAACAGTGAATACAAGTGGCCGCACACGCCAGTCAATATAACCTAGCAAGTATAGAAGCTCCGACATGTAAATTGCTGCTCTGGAATCATAAGAGGTTCTCGCATTTATTATTTTGTAATGAGCAGGAAAAAACTCAGCTGACACATAGCACAAAATTACATGTAGTTCGCACACCCATAATTCTATGAAAAAGGATGCGAAAAGTTATATAACACAAAGATGCATCCACATTGAGCAACAAATATATAACACAATTTTAACAATGTTGTGCACCTTGTGCACTTATAATGAAATTTCCCCATTTGCTCTGGAATCAACGAAGAACAGAGCCGGATTTATGAGGAGGGGGGGGGGCATGGTGCCATGGCACCGGGCATGTTTGGAGGCGGCAAACGATATATATATATATCAGGGTGAGTATTGGCATAATATTATAAATGCATAACAATCATTAAGAGCAAATAAGCCAAATAATGTTGTACTACAGCAATAAAACCAGGGAATTTTTTTAAAAAACCTCAAGATTTTATTGTTAACAAGGTGGAACTTACATGTACATACATATAGAGAGAGAGAGAAAAAGAGGAGTTTGTGTTTCGTGCTTGCCTTTAACGTGTCGCAAAAATGCAATTCCCCCTCCTTAAATATTTGTTTGCAACACTTTCCTGCACAGAGGATCTGTTGCACTCGGGAGGAATTTGGAGAGTAATGAGTCAATCTTCTGTAAATTTTCACGAAAAAACGGTTGGTGTGGTTAAAAACACTCTTAGTTTGATATTAAAGCTGCAAAAGCTAAATAAAGTTCAAAGTTCCAACAAAGGCCTCTCATTGGTCGGCTACGTCAAAACCAGTATATGTTTATTTCCCGCCGTTTCGATGCACCTGTGTTTCCCCATGAGGAATCACGCCATGAGGCGTTTCTCAAAAACAAGTTTAGGTCAATTTGTAACCTACTTTACCGAATTTTCTTGCAGATATCAGTTCCTCACATCCTCTACTTTACAACTACATCAACGAATGTGTTAAAATCGCATCATATTAAAGTTTAATATTTCTAAGGAAGTCCCAAAAGTGCGGTTATGTCTCCTTTCAGGGCTTTTTGCGGGTTTTGCCGACTGGCGACTTGGACGGTCAACCGATGGAATTCGGCGGTTAACCCCGAATCTCCACCGCGGCGGTGCATTTTCGGGGGTTCGGCACTCTCAACGATGTGACGGACCACCGGCATATTTGTTTACGAAATTACCATCACCACCTCCACGCACGGTCGCACGAAGTGTGCCGATTGCCGATCGATTTTAGTATATTAATTCCAAATTAATTCAATTTAAATCGTTTCAGCCGTTCCGTTTTAGCCTCAATTAGCTAAGCTCACCGTTACGCAAACGTACGTATTTGTTAGCTTTTTGCAACCGTTTCATTCCACTTGTTCATTGTACTAACGTCTTCATGGAGTGAGTTTTTCACCGGAATTTACTTGTTAAAGTCTCCGAACGTTTCTGATTAATTGGAATGAATAACTAGTATTCACAAGAAATTTAAATAAAGTACCGCTGCTTCATTGTGTAACTTTAAACTTCGATGTTGTTTGTGATACCTCCTCCTTGATGCATCAAAAGTTAAACACCGGCCTCATACTATAATGTGTAAGGCATTAAAGATCCAACAAATTCCATTGCTCTCAGCAGTATAAACAATTATTTCAGTACTTTCCAGACCAAATGCATATAACAGAGAGGATAAATGCATAAATATTTCTGACGCTTGCTGCCTGTTGGGCTGATTGTTTTATTTGTGTTGGTGTCAGAACATAACGGAATCAATGGCTTTTCTAGCTCAGAGACAAGGAATTTATCGCAAGAGAATCATTTGAGTCTGTTGCGCAGCCTCTCATAACACAGCCAGACCTGAAGTCCACATGCTTCTTTTAAGGTCAGCAGCAAATTAGGCTTAACGTAGAATGCATTTTCTCGAGAAATCTTACAATAATATTCGATTTGTAAAGATCTTAAACCCTAACCAATGCCAGAAATTGACTCCTAACAGAAGTCAATACATGTGAGAATTTTTTTTTAGGCCCCCAGCTACTTTATCTAGAAGATCTGCAAAGTGTAATCATTTTAACTATTTATGCTAGATATTCCAGAGAAATTAATCAGTGATGAGTCTAAGTATGTAGACCAAAGACATTGAATAGAGTAGACTGTGCGCTGTGAAATGGAGCGGTGGCCACTTCTCTTCCATTCACATGTCGCACCGACCGATGAGTGCGGGAACACCGAAACGGCACCGGTGAGGTAGTGAGCCCCAGCCGTCCCCAGCTCGCGGTAAACGAACAGTGCGCTTGTACGAGGTTGGTATGGTATGGCTCCGAAATCTTTAATTATTAATTGATTAGTGCGAATATTTTCGGCTGATGTGTTCTTTAATAATTATAATCAAATGTTTCTGTGTGAAGATGTGTTTTGGTTTTCATGATTAAACACCACACAACTCTCAATTTATGGTATGCTTACATGAGCAAATTCTTGATGAACCGGGCAAGAGACAAGAATGATTATGTCCCGATGATAATTTTTGAACTTCGACTACATTTAGCCTTAAGGAACTACTATTTTTGGTTCATTTGTTTTATTACCTACCTACACAGGAAACTAATACACGACACAACAACGGATCATGAACTAATGGCACATTTTGTTCTTCCTAAAATGAGCCAGAAATAGCAGTTCTTCATTGAAAACTGTAGTCAACTTAGTGTCTTCAATTTCAAACTAGCGTAGAAAACCCTTCGGTTTGACTCTCATTTTGTTAAATATATTGAGATTTTGCTAATTCTGCGCATTTCATGGCCTACTGATTTTATTGCAGAAGTTCCTCAAAATTTCATGAAATTTTAGCGTATATGGAATTGCATACAATTTTGCATATCTGTTTATTAAGGAGTCCATTCAGCACGCTATCAAGACTGAAGCTGCTTTAAGAATGGAAATGGTTCTAGCAGGAAAGGGGTTGGGCGTCTAGGAGGAACGTATTTTTTTAAAATTAAAATTTATGGAAGGGAGGAATTAAATTAAATTTTCCATCTTTCAATCGCCATGAACAAAATTGGTTAAATATCGCTTTAATTACTAGGTACAAGCAGGATCGTTATTCCTGCGACAAATAGTTTTCCGTAACCCGCCGTACATGACTCAGTTGACCACAGGAGATTAACCGGGCCGGAAGTCATGTTATTGAAGAAAGCCTTTCCCCTCATTGATATCACACCTTCTCCGACCGTATCTCTCACATCTTCGTTTCCCCTCATTGTAGCATGCATCAAATTGCGATTATCGGGAACATATGATCACATGCCTTATCTGATCGAATCGTCTGTCAACAATCGGTTAGTTTAATTTCATTTTGAAGAGGACAGAAGACCCATCGCTCTTGGCGCCCTGGCCCTGCTGATATCTAGGCGCCAGTGTAAGGCGCCGCGAAAGTTTTGTATCTTAAAATTAAAATAATTTAAATCATCAGTAGAGGAGTAGAAATGAAACAGAATTTTAAAAAAAAATCATATGTCAACAGGAATGTAGAAACAAAGTATAACAAAAATACATAAATACCAACAAAATAAAAAAGTTGAATCCCAAAGCCTTTCAAAGCTAAGGCCTAGCACCATATGACATTTCTATATTTCATTTGACCTAATTGTAAAACAATTTAATAAAAATAAATAAAATCTTCTACGCTATATTTTACAAGCCTATCCTTGAAGACTTGTTGAAGAAATCTAAATCCTCAATATTAGTTAACTTTGGTTGAAAGCACTCGCCCATTGTTAGGAACCAGGAGGAAATAATGAGAAAGCTAGAAAAAATTATTTTTTTCAGGGTGGACGGTGGGCCAAACGCCAAATATTCGCCATTAAAATCGAGATGTTGTAAAACCAAGTAATACTGAGAAAGTTGAGAGGAGGGTGGCATATCTCTTGTCGAAAGAGCTAAGATGACCTTGATTAGCATTTGAAGCACCCAAAAGGAAGGAACTTCATGGGGGTTGGTATCCTATAGCTTATTTGACTTAAATATCTGACACGATTAACTGACTGTTAAAAAAATAATGAAGATTTGGCAATTAAAAACAATCCAAATAAATACAGAACTAGCTGCTTGAGCTCGCTTGCGCCGCTAGCCTGGAGCTTTGCCCCCTAGACCCCCAGTCACTCGCTATGCGAGCCAAATTTTGCTACTACAAGTAATTAAAGGACTACTTTGAGTACAATGTTTTTTGTACGCCTACCTTTAGGGACAAAGAAGTCCGTGGCAAAGACGCAAATATGGCGTTATCAAATCGAGGTAAATTTTGCATCATCGGTCACGCAGATCGAGAAACCAAGGAATGCTGGCACATTAAGAGCTTAAGAACTTTCATTTAAAACAAATCCGAGGTAAATCGGTTGAGTAGTTTTCGAGATCGAAGGAGGATACAAACTGTGTACCCGGTAAGCCGGAAATGCGTCAATTTAAATTGAGGTAAATTTCGCAATGTCGGTTGCGCAAGTCGAAAAACCAAGGGGTACTGGCACAGCTACAAGTCAAGAACTTTCATTTAAAACAAACCTGAGGAAAATAGGCCGAGTAGTTACCGAGATCGAAGGAGGACAAAAAAAGCCTTAGGATATTAAATACATAGACACCAAAAAAAAACAGCATGGCTCGGATAAAAAGGAGGAAAAGTGGCAAAAGGTTGACAATCCTAGGAGGTAGTCCATTTTTCAGGATGAAGGATGAACGATGTAGCATTGAAATGAAAATGAGAACAGGCGAGAAGAATGACAGTGACATTTTGCCCAATTCTTAGTTCAAAACATGACAACAAAGAAGTAGCGAGAAGTTGCATTACAGATGTCCCGTTGCAAAGCTTCACTGAAAACTTTCAATATCAGCGATGAATCCGTTAAAAATAATACCAAGACCATTAGTAAAGTCTGCGCCGGACTCCTATGCTCTGAAAAAAAATACTTCAAGTTTTGCGCGATTCTAAGTTTTCAGACGAAGGGTATGCGAAGCATGTTATTTGAAAGAAGTACCT